TCTTTTGTTTCCACCTGACCGCTTGGCTACTTCTTCAGAGCTGATACATTTCCTTTCCTTGTTCCCTTAATATTTGTCCCTTTCAGGTCTGTGTGTGTGTGAGCATGTATGTGTCCTGCCAGATCCTTCTTCTGCTGCATCTGCATCCTTGCGGTGTTACTTTACATGAAGCATTATTTCTTATAGCTGAGGCACCAGAAGATCAATGAAAAGCCAATGAGCTTTTCTTCAGTGACAGTAATAATAGCTGCCACTTACTGAGATACTGCTTTGTGGTAGGTATCTTGTGAGTTCCTCAGAAGCGGTCCTAAGAATAGGATTTGGGCACAAGTGATTGATTTGAGAGGTGATACAGGAAGGACCATAGGTGAATGGGAAATGGAACAGAGAAGGAAAGGGAGTCAATATTGACTGTGTTAATGAACCAGTAAAGATTGTGAAACTGGTGGTTGATTCCACTGGAACATCTGTGAGATGATGTAGAACATGTCTCAGTGTTGTTCAACCTAAGAGTGAAGAACGTTGGACTTTTATTCTTTAGCAGCTATCCATTGCTGCCTGAATGGTGCTGCAAGAATATTAACCCCCAGCCCTCTGCACTTCTGGTTTTCCCTTTCTGGGCAGAGAGAGCACAGTTGCAGATACTTGCAGTGGAAAGTTGTTGACATGTGTCATGTGCAGGAACATGGATATCAGCGAGATATGTGTGCAGGTGATGGCAGCTTCCCCTACCCCTGCAGCAGGCATTAAGCATGCATTCCTTCTATTTCATGATGAGAGGCTGAGTGGTTAGGGGTCACACAGCAAGTAATTGGTAGAGCCAAAGTTAAATTCAGAATGACCTCTGAAGTTCATTATCTTTTTTATTTTGTCATGCCTTCTTTCCCACTCAAAAGGAATATGCTGGGGGGAAAATATCCATGTTGTAGTAAAGGTGGACTAAAAGAAACATAGGAGAGGAAATGGCAAGCACAGTACAGAGGGAAGAATGTCATTGAGCTCCAGAGCCTGAAAGAAGAAAGAGCACTCCATTTCTGAGTGTAGTTTGCAGTTGTTAGAATAAATAAATAGTAGTTACGAAATGTTTGAATAAATACTGGCAGCACTAAAATAGATCAAGGAAAATAATATTTCTACATCAATTGACTCATTTGGCAGGAACAACCATAGAAATCAAGTGCATCACTGTGGTTTTACATGAACAACCATTGAGAATTAGTGTCAGTGCATTTTAAATTTTTTTCTTTGAAAATTAAAAACAGAAGTAAAAGTATAAAGAATAGAACTAATTTCCATATGGCCATTATCTACACTAAACAATAATTATCATTTTTCCATATTTGTATCTTTTATCTGGCATAATAATTTAAAGCAAATATCAGACATCACAATATTTTTTTATCCATAAGTCCTTCCCTAAGCACATATAAAAATAAAGACTTTTTAAAATAAGCATAATTCCATTATTATAACTAATGAAACCATAAGGAATTTATTCCTTAATATCATCTCATCTAAACCATTGTCTCATGACTGTCTCTTTCTAGTTGGTTTGTTTGAATCACTGTCAAAGAGGTCCACATACTGCCTTTGTTATGGCTCTTAAGTCATTTAAAATTTATAAATGTTCTCCTTGTTTATACATCATTGCCTTGTTAAGGAGACAAGATCAGTTGCCCTGCAGAAAATTGAGAATATCCCAAATTCTGAATATGTTGTATCAGTATATTTTTACTTCAACATTATTTACAGAGACATCCACTGACCTTGCCTTGTCATTTTGGTTACTTGATATAGCCATAGGAAGTTTGGGCAGGCATTTCTGCAGAGTCTTTATAACTTCATTCACCCTGATTCTGCAGCAGGTAAAAGAAACACCATGTCTAGAAAACTTATAAATTATCTCACCAAAGTGCAGCTGTTACAGACGTCCACAGATTGGGAACTGTCAACTAGGCAAACCTTAGGAAGCCCCAAACTGATGGATGGAAAGACAGAAACTGGAATTCATGAAGCTACAAGTAAGACCAGGGTCTGTTTTGTTCACATTGTGTCTCTATTCCATAACTCAGTGCCTTTTTTTAGTGTAGATGCTCAAAAGAAGTTTGCACAAGGACAGAGTCAGCTAGAGCTGGGGTAAATTCTGTCTCCCTGCAATGCAATAATGAGATTCTTCATCCTTTTCACAGTTTGAGAAATGCCACTTTTTCAGGTCCTGAGAGTCAGTGAATTTAAGAGATACCAAGGTAACTTAAAAGGACAGTCAGTACCTATTTTAGACATTTTGAGACTCTCTCATAGTTGGGATTCCTCTGCTTTTAGTGGGATGTCACTAGTTACTCTTCCAACGTAAGATGTCTAAACTGCTTTACTTCACCCTTTCAAATCCAAAGGAAAAGGCTTTCTTACCCCACAGACGCCACCCGGCTATTCTAGGTATCCAGGGTCCCACCACACCTTAGGTTTACGGTGCTAAGAGAAGGCCTGTCCACAATCAATGACACAAAGTCTCTGGTAATGTGTTAATGAACTGAAAGCTTCATTGGACCCTGAGATACAGGAGCACTAGCAAAGTCTTTGGTTCAGACAACGAGAACTTAATTGAAAGTTTAGCAAGTGTCTGCTCTGTGGCATCACTCTTGGACATGAAGGATTTTCCCCAAGGCTCTTGGTTGATCAACCCCACTGTACCTTGAAGCTCTTTCTCTTCCCTCAGAACTTGCTGCCTCTGCAATGGTGCTGCTGGGAGGTAAGGCCACAATGTTCCCAGGACCACAGACTCACAGGCTACTCTCTAACATGACTCTTCTTCCAAGTCTGGGTAAAACTCTCTTTTGTGGGGCAGCTGAAGATAAAACCCTCTCTCCAGAGTGCTTCCCTAGGACATTGTGTCTACACCACTTAATTCCCCTTTTTCTTTCAGTTCTCTCCTCCCAACCCATACCACTCTCTCTTCCTCCTTCCCAAAAGGTTTTGGCTATCCTTTAATATAAAGCTTTCACATCAACCTAAAACTAGTTCTCTTTTCCTTAATTCTGAGGAGATTTAAACTTCAATCTCTCTAATGTAGAAAAAAAAAAAAAAAAAGAAAGAAAAAATTTTCATGTGAAAATAAGCCTGAACATTCATATTCAGCTACATGTCTATATACGTTCTGTTTTTCTTTCAATTCTTTGCCAAGACAAGTTAGGAATATGAACCCTACCCTAGTGGTTTGAATAGAGGCTACTGCTGCCTTGGAAACATAAAATCAAATGGGTCTGAAGCTAAAGAGCTCATACTAGCAACAGTTTTACCATAGTTTTTTTTTTTTTTGGAAAAACTTTTATGAAAAAAAGCCAGAAGTTGTGATCCTATTCACTAAACTTAAATTTGAGGCATTATCCTGTTTTGTCATCTACCCAAAGTCACAACTGGGTAGATAATCACAAATAGTGTGACTTTAAATTCTCTGTGCTGTTTTTTCAGTCATAAAATTAAAGAATTGGCTACACTGATCTAAAAATTATCTCTTCATTTTCTTCATGCGCTAAGAAAATCGAGCATGCACTGAATCAAAATAGATTGTGACACATTTCCTAGAGTTCACCTAATGCCCACTCAAAAGACAGCCTCTTTACTCCATATGTGGGTCTACACACACACACACACAAATACACACACACACACACACACACACACACAAACACACACACACGCAGGGCGGGGGGAGCTCCTGAAAAAAGTAAAATATAGGCTATGTTTAATCTCCATAATTGCCCTATTTTTCTAATGGTTTGGTTTGTTTTTAGAAAATTGTCAACTCTTTGAAACCCAAAGAATGATGTCATAAGCTTCCAAAAGATTAAGGAAAGTTAGAGGAAAGACAATTGTCAAAAGTTAAAGAAAATCACTTTAGATGGAAAATACTTTGTTAAAAGCATAAACCTGGGTCAATCTCTCAGTAATTATTGTCACTCATGCATGACCTTTAATTTGACTCATTTCGCAGCCTTATCATTGCCTCCACATTGTATAATTTGACTCAAACTTCTCCCCCAGAGTCTCACTATCCCAATCCATGCTTCTTCAAAGGACCATACCTTTATAAACTCCAAAATACTTCAACAAGGATCCTTAACTGAGAAAATGCTATCTTTGCAGAATACAAACCATCTTCGTACAGTACAAGCTGGTAACTCAGTTGCTGGTTTTTTACAAAACACAGCAAGACTTCATTGTTTGAATTAATGTGTAAACATCAGTCTTAGAAGTAAGTTCCACTGGGCATCATCTATAAATGTTGAGGTCTTAAATGATTCACACTCAGTTTTACTCACATCTGTAATAATTATCACTACCAAAGAGAAGACATTGTATAGAACAAGATGTTAAATTAGTGTTCTGAAAATTTTATAAAACAAAATCTGTGCTGCTTTCTTCCACAAAGTTCACAATGAATCACTGCAAACTCCTAATGACTTCACAGGAACTTCTGCTTGAAGTGGGGGATAAATTTGGGGACCATGTATGGTACTATGAGGCATAATATCTAGAAAATGCAGATAACACAGCTAGCTTTACTGCCTCATACTAAAAACCTGATGAAGGTAAGAAAATATTTCAAGTCACAATTTATATTTTTCTCTGAAAGCACCAAGGAATTAATACCTCCTTTCCAAGTGCATGTATACCTGAGCGTTCCTTTTATATCTAGGTGGAGGCTATACTGCATGTATTCGTATATGTTATATGTATGTATGCATATTTTGTAAACCTTCGTTGAATAAGTGCATTGATGAAACATTAGCTACCACCTGGAGAATGGAGCACATTCAGGCGAGAGTGATGAGGGAGTTGTTGAAAGGCAATATTGAGAGTTTCTCGTATGCCAGTCAATATTCTAAATGCTTCAAGTGCAATATCTTATTGTCATTCTTAACACCTGTTTAAGTAGGTATCACCACCTGTGATAACTTCATACTGCAGATGAGGAAACTGGGCAAACAGAGCGCAAGTAACTTTTCCCAGGCTGCATTATAAGGGACAGACTCTAGCCCATGCTGAACCACCAATGCTGTATTGCAGTCGTGCAGTAGAGAGAAGGTGGTCACTTGGATCAGGGTGTGGCAATGAAGATAGGAAGAAGTTGATAGACTGAAGACACATTTTTGCTTGCTTCATCTACAAGAGTAAAAAGTAAAAAGCAATGTTAATGCTTAACATCAGAAATTTGACTTAAATTTTAACATATCCATATAAAAGAGCACTATGTAGTTATTCAAAATCACTTTTTCCAATGAAAGGCACCATTTATTTTTGACTGAGAATAGTATGTCAAGTAAAAAAAAAGGGACATATAAAATGCATATTTTGGATGATCCCATTTTTTTATAATATATATTTTTTATTTTAAAGTTGTGAGGTACAGTTAAGGGTTAGGTATACAAGTATTCATTGTGCAAGTATCCTTGTTGATGAGGTGTGACGCCTTTCCCCAGACAGATATTGACTACTGTTAATCCCACCTCCCTTCCCCTTCCTGTCCCCCCTCCATGATCCCATTTTTAACAAGTGTGTGGGCCTGTGTATACAAAGAGAGACTAGAAAGGAAGTTGCAAAGAGGGATAACTTAACTTCCTCTTTTCCTATTTGGTATAGGTGGGAGATGGGACTCTGCACAAATTATATTTTCTATTTACCCTTTATTTTTCAATTATTTCTATAGGAGCAGGCATTGTTTCTATAATAAAACTGCTTGGGAGGAATGAAAGAATAACCAAACCACAATTCATTCATGAGTTCTAGAAAAACCAGTGGAGATTTAAGACACAGACTAAAGGGGGTGATGGCAATAACACGAGATTAGTACTAGCTCATCCCTGAAGCTACAGGCTCCTGAGTGAGTTCACTGGTCTGGGCCCAGGTACCATGGGAAGTTGTAGAGTGATGCTTTTCAGTGCCTGCATCCAGAGAACATGGCAAAGCCATCCATAGACAGAACCAGACAAGATACAAATAATGCAGACAAGCATCACATAGAGCAGACTGTGCATTGAAAAAAGGAGACTGGATGGGTACAGGAGAGGAGGAGGCCAGGGACAGAGGAAGGCCAAAGCAGAGTGGGTGGTGAAGCTGTCATTCATTCCTCCCCTGGGTTGGGCACCTTTATGATATCTTCACAAAGGTGCTATATGGGCTAGCTGCACTCAAGATTGGCAAGATGAAGCCAGGCACGGTGGTATGTGCCTGCAGTCCCAGGTACTTGGGAGGATTGCTTGAGTCTAGGAGTTCAAGGTTGTAGTGCAGTATGATTGTGCCTATGAATAGCCACTGCACTCCAGCCTGGTAGCTACAGCGAGATCCCATTTCAGGAAGGGAGGGAAGGGGGGAGGAAGGGAAGGAGGAAGGAAGGAAGGAAGGAAGGAAGGAAGGAAGGAAGGAAGGAAGGAAGGAAGGAGGGAAAATTTAAAAGATTGGCAAGATGAGCTGAAGACAACTATAAAGGTTATTTGGAGTCCAAAGTCATCAAAGGTAAAGACCCAGAGTTGAAAGAAACTACCAGAGAATGGAGACTTGAAGGATGGATGGAATTTATGTTGGAGAATTAGATGGAAAAAGAAGCCATCTAGCACTGGCATAGGAAGAAATGTAAAAATTAAAATTCAAGAAAGGATCTTTAACTGGATTTTATAATAACCAAGGCACTGAAATAGCAGGCTTTTTAGTCTGAGAAACTCTGAGAAACCACTGGAAGCATAGATATATCAGCACAAGGAAAATGACATAAAAAAAAGTCACTATAACTGGCTGTCGTCTCATTCAAACCCCTCCTTTCTTATGCTTCTTCCCAAGCCATCTGACTGCTGACTTGAGATTGACTTTTTGAGACTGGTATTCCTGTTCAGACTCTCTTCTTTTGCAGCAGAATTAGAACTACAACAAGACACCCGTGCAACCTAAGGGAGCACATTCTTCAACTCAAGCTACACTGAGACCCCACTTCCACCCCTCACCTTTGCTAGACTATTCTGTTCGGGGAGCTGGGAACATCAGATAAAGCTTTTGTTCACCTGTTCAAAGGTGTTCTCTGGAGAATATGTTCATTTCTCCTAGAGAGAGTTTAAGCAAAATTTACTTTTCTTGGACAAAAGCAATTTCTAGGCTATTTGCATGCTGTCAGTTCTCTGCTTTTCTGCAGAGCATTTCATTGCCAAGCACGTCTCCATGATTTATTAGCCAGTCCTCCACTAAAGGCTGAAAAGTTGTTATTTCCTCCATGTTTATGGATGATAAAAATCAGAGCTACGGATTAGTTAAGTGTCTTCTATAAGGTCATCCCACAAGTTTGAAGGACAGAGCTGGGGTTAGAACGTGTGCTCCCTGACTCGCCCTGCCCTAAGAGGTCCACTGGGCCGCACTGCCTCTCTGCACGACAACATAACATGCCGTCAGGGGCAGATGTTGCCTGTCACCCTGACCATTCATCATGCCCATAAGAAGGTGCAATTACAGAGAGAGATTTTAAAAAATAGCTCTTATCCAGGTGGCTAAAATCACTTCACCGAAATAAAGGCTTGAAAATCAATGTCTGAGTAGTGGCCACATTTTAATCCTCACCTAACTTCTCTCTGCTAGCCATTCAGCATGACTTTAAGACACCTTATCCTGATATTAGTGATGGGTACTCAAAGAAAAAAAAATCTTTTAAATATTTTTCTAAGCATTTAGGAAAGAAAAGCACAAGGAGGAAGCAAAGCCGTCTTCTGAATTATAAAAACAAGGAATCAGATCGGGGGATTATCCATGGTTCCAAATTTGTCTGAGGCACCTTTCAGCCCTGCTTCCTCCTATCTGTTCTCTTCCTTTGTTAGAGAGCCATTTATCATAGGTGATTGGGAGATGACTTTAAATGTCACTAAGAAAAATATACCATAAAACTGAACTAGAAGAGAACAGCTACACCAACTCTTTGAGTATATCATTGAGGGAGCTGGTGAGAAAAGTTAAGTAAATTCCTAAGAATTATATGGTTACGAGGGCCTAGGGTTTTTTTTTTTAACTATACACCGGACACAACTGGATTGATATAATTCAATCATTTATTTGTTCAATAAACTCTCATTAAGGGTCTGCTATGTGTCAGAAGTTAGAAAAAGAGTCTTTGTCTTCGAAAAACTCATAGTCTAAAGGAATGACAGCAATATGTTATCTGATTCATAACTGTAATACAATTTCAAAAGGCTACCCTAGAGAGTAGACGTGAAAGGAAAAAGATCATCATTGGCTGGCTTAAGAGATATCTTCTATTTCTAATGATTTCAAAATTAGTGGAAAATGTTTCATAGAGACACAAGTAAAAAGGGACTTAGCATGGCTTATAGGAAACCTGGACTTCCCTATACCCTCTCAATTTGTCATTAGTAATTCACACCTAAATACATAGACCCTTTTAATTTCAAGAATAACTGTGATTAAGGAAGGGAATGGAATTTAAACACATTACAGGCTAATACATGTGGAAACAGGTTCTCTCAAATTGCTGTCATGAATAAAAGTGTTGCTTATCCACATAGCATTTTTTTAAATGCAAGAGAGTTTTTGGAGTAATTGAAACAGGAAACATAGTTTTGTTTCCTCTACATTCTTATTATGAAAACTGTAAAGTCTGAAGAGATGTAGTGGAGGAGGGAGTTCAGAATATAAAATTGAAAATTTATACAGTTATACAGGTGGGACCAGGGGCATGTGAACGTGTATGTGTTTGTGTACATGAACACATGTCTGTGTGTATAACTCACAGTAAAAAGAAGATTCTGCCTGTTGATTCTGTGTAGTTCCTTAATTGCAAAGTACAAGAGAAACAAAACTAGAATTTTGAACTTCTGAAAAACCCTAGAAAATAAACACTCTAAGAGATGTTTCCAAATTTGACAAGTTACTGGAAGCTAAGATAGATAAGACCACCAATCCCTTTACTCCAGCCTCTTGAGAGGCCTGGTTTAGAAAGCATCATATTTCTGAGGAGACAAGAGGAGCAGAGAAAAGACAGTGAGTATATGGGCAGGGAAAAGACAAAGGGAGTGACATGTCAAGGCCATTAGAAAACTATTGACAAAGCACCACATCAAAAGCTATTATAAAAATTGAGTTATTGTGTTAGAGAGAACGTTGTAGTAGGAGAGTCAACTTAAGCAAGTAGAGTTTCCCAGAAATAGGATTTTAAAGAACAATCTAGAATAAGCAGATTTCATTACTATTGTAAAAGTTTCTAAGTTTTCTTCAACCAAACAAACTACAGAAAAATCTACAAGGCTAAATAAGTGACTGTATAAGAAATAGGTCAGTAAACTCTAAGATAAAGTGTTTGGAGGAAAACAATGGAAATATGAAATCTTTAGAACCCGAATGAAGCAGTCTAGCTGCCACAAACCCACTGTAGTTTCAATATTATATCATGTCATATTGCATCATATCTTAATATAATACAACACTTTCTAAGGATACCAGGAAGATGTATAGCAGGATTAAATGAACTCCTCCTCAATGCCCTCTGTTTAGCCAGATACTTGACTATGCTCCTCAATTCCTGTATTTGTCTCCATTTCTGGACTAGAATTTTGGAAACTCCGTAGAGATTTTTACTTGTAGTTTGTGAATTTTGAAAATTGGTTGCTCATCCTCCCTCCTGTCTTAATTCTTCCTCACAGTTCACTGACTAAAGATGTCTCCTTTCAGGTGACGCTGACCTGACACTTTTGTCCAGCTCACCTTCAACTTTTGTCCAGCTTATTTTGTTTTGTCTGAAAAATAGTTAAAGAATGCACAAAAGAAACATAATACTATGTTAAATGGATAAATGAGTCAGATAGACCTAAAGACAGCATTATATAAAGACCATCTATGTAGATATAAAAATAAAATATAATATAAATCTTATGATATGCAAGAAAATAAAAATGAATGCAGACCATTTTTATACCTATTCCAAAATGAAAAAATTGATAGAAGACATTCATAAAATACTACCAGTGAGTTGTGGAACCTTAATTTGGACAGAATAGTTTTTCTGAGAGTAAAATCTTAACAAATATGATAACACCTCACTCACTACCTCATGGTCAACAGGTGCCATTTTCATAATGCTACAATTGTTTTAAAAGTTATTCCTTTAAACCAACCAA